TAGACATCAAGAACTGATACACAGGAGCAGATTGGCTGGTACTCGGAAAAAATTACAAAAGAGTGATCAAATAGTTCTTCAGGCGGATAGGGGGGGGGCGACAGTTGTAATGGACAAGAAACAATACAAGGAGAAAATTGAAAGTACCCTTGGCGACCGGAATACTTATCAAATATTAAGGAAGGATCCAACCACGAAGATCAACGGGACACTTGAGAATATGCTCAAGGAAATGCATAATACTGGAGAAATTGACAGATGGAGGATGAAATATTTAAAAAAATGACGCAAGGCCACCGACAGCCCACGGACTACCGAAGATACACAATGAAGGAAATCCGCAGAAGTATATTGGTGAAACAGGAATAAAAATCGGTCTACGAATCAAGGAACATCAAAGACTCTGCAGGAACATGGATACGAAAAGATCCGAACGTAACACATTGCACAAACGGGGCACGAAATTAACTGGAAATTAACAGAAAGGTTGGCTGCATGTGGTTAAAATACGAGAAAACGCAAGGTCCGAGAGGTCATCAAAATACTGACCGAGAGAAATCTAATGAACAGGAGACTTGAAGAAGGCAGGATCAGCGAAAACTTTCATATTATCTAAACAAACTCTGAGAAGACCAGGCAATAAACAGCAAGATCAGCAAAAAGAAGACGACTAGATCAAGGTAATATTCTTGATTTTAGGAAAAGAGATCGCAGAGGAATGAGAAAGGAACAATCAGAAGCCAAGAGGAGACATCTTCAATGAGCCTAATCAAAACAAGTAGAACCACAACATTTGTGGGTTGGCCCACAAGAGACTAGGACGTAGGAACTGATGGACATGGCATCACAGATAGAAATAGGAAAGACGCGGTGGAGACTAAAGCTATTTGGCAAAAAATAGTCGTGTGTGATCATAGAAGTGATCCTTGAATCACGACTTTTGTTAGCCAACCAGCTCTAGCTTCCACTGTTTCTATCCTCTTTTTATCTATGATAGCAAGTCTATGACTTACTATACCCTAGTCTCTTGTGTGCCAACCCACAAACCTTGTGGTTCAACATTGAACCTAACCAAAGCAAGCAGTAC